TAACCGGTTTGGCTTAGTGGATAGTGCGTCGGCCTGCAGACTGAAAGGTCCCAGGTTCGATTCTGGCCAAGGGCATGTACCTTTGATGCAGGCACATCCCCAGTAGGGAGTGTTCAGGAGGCAGCTGGTTGATGTTTCTTTCTCATCAATGTTTCTAACTCTCCCTTCCCATTCCTCTCTGTAAAAAATCAATAAAATAGATATTAAAAGAATGTAAACTTCATAAAAAAACAAAACAAAACATGGGTGGGTGTTGAAGGGCTTGTTTTGTATTCTAATTATGGTGGTCAATATAAGAGCTAGCTACTATCCTACCTAATAAAAGAATAATATGCAAATTAACTTTTTCTGCAACAAAGATGGCGACACCCATAGTGGCAGGGGGCGGGGGGAGGATGCTGGTGGCGTCGCCCTGGCGACACGAGCCCAAGGTCCCGCGTCCCAGGGACTGGGAGAGAGGGACTGGGGGCCAAGCATCCTGCGACCCGGCGGTGTGTTGGGAAGGGCCTCTGGCCAGAGACCAGGGCACGGGATGCTGACATTGCAGGCCGGGCTGTGGGAGCCCCCCCCCCCCCCCCATGAACAAAATTTTTGCTCCGGGCCTCTAGTCCTATATAATAAAAGCCTAATATGCTAAGTGTCTGGTCGACTGGTCGGCCGTTCAACCAACCAAAGCGTATGCTAAAGATATGCTAAGGCCACTCAACTGCTCGCTGTGACATGCACTGACCACCAGGGGGCAGGTGCTCTGACCAGTAGGTTAGCTTGCTGCTGGGGTCCACAGATTATGACTGAGTGAGACAGGCAAGACACGCCCTGGAGCCCGCCCACTGTCCCTCCCTGGCTGGCCAACCTCCTGCATCTCTCCCTGGCCCTGATAGTTCACTGGTGGGATCTCTTGGCCTGGCCTGCGCCCCCTCACAATCTAGGACCCTACAGGGGATGTCGGAGAGCTGGTTTCAGCTTGATCCCAAAGGTCAGGCTGAGGGACTGGTGCATAAATTCATGTACTGGGTCTTCCTATATAATAAAAGGGTAATATGCAAATTCATCCTAACAGCAGAACAACCACTGGACCAGTCACTATGAGGCACACTGACCACTTCTTGGTCCCTTCCCCTGGCTGTCAGGCCCAATCACCTGATGGTGAACAGGGAACTGGGGGTGGGTGGTGGCAGGGGGCAGCTGGGGAATATGGCCCTGATTGCAGGCCGGGCGTATGGACTGTACCCACACACAAATTTTGTGTGCCAGGCCTCTGGTCATTATATAAAAGAATAATACGATATAATTTCATGATTATTGAAACTATGAGTAGTCTGAAATATAACTAACATGATGTACTACCTTTATGCAAGAAAGGAAGAAACCCTAGAAAAGTGTAAATGCTACTAAGCAAATTTAAATCTGTTCTGTTGCTATTGTCCAAAGAAGATATAAAATAACCAAACAAAAAAAAAATCCCCTCATTCTCCTAATTCATTCATTCATGCATTCATTGAATGTCCATTTTCCAGGGACTTACTGAAAAGTAAGAAATTATCTTGGCAGGCTTTCATTGATGGTGTTCTTTAGTATGTGTGTGTCTTTTTTGTGTGGCCTCAGTTTTCTCAAATTTACTTCAGCTATTGGCCAAAGGTACTGACAATGTCTGTGATTAAGTATCATACCTATTGCATCTACCAATGAAATATTAAGACCCAATACATCCTTCCACTAGGTTGATTCTGAGAATTATTTGGGAAGTAAAAGGAAGCTTTTGAAAAACAGGAATCCAGGGGGTTCAAGCAATGGTTGTTTTAAGGAGGATCCAGACCAGTGGTTGGCAAACTGCGGCTTGCGAGCAACATGCAGCTCTTTGGCCCCTTGACTGTGGCTCTTCCACAAAATACCAACTTCTGTGCATGGGCCACGAAGTTTCAGTCGCACCGAATGTGCGCACAACCATGTGGTATTTTGTGGAAGAGCCACACTCAAGGGGCCAAAGAGCCACATGTGGCTCGTGAGCCACGGTTTGCCGACCACCAATCTATATAAACTCAGAAATATTCAGGTCATGAAACTCCTTTACTGAATATATTTTCAAAGAGAAAATAAGGATGCTCTTTGACATGAAGAGAAACCATGAGGCATCATTCCTAAATGATGTTAAAGTATTAGACTTGAACCATGTCCTTCCCACTACAGGGCATCAGTGGGGCAGACACAACGGAGAGACAGAGAGCAGGCAGAGGTGCTCTCTATTCCAGTCACATGAGCCTGAAGTCTTGTTTTTAATGTTTAAGCATTACTCTTTGACAGCTGAGAGAAAGCAATCCCCAAGGGAGGAGGAAAGGCGCCAAGACAAAATGGAACATCTGAGAAAGAATGGAAATGATTCTATTGCTCCATGAGGCAGAGCCAAGTGGGAGGGAAGCCAGGGTAAATGATCAGAGGCTGTCTACGAAACAGCCCTCCCAGCACTGGGCGCCTACTCAGTGAGGCCATAACAACTCTGCCATGGCTGGCACAGCTGAAGCTCCAAGTTAGTCATCTGCAGAAAACTAGTCTTGATCTCCATTTTGAAGAAGTGTCTGAATGATTGTCAGGGCCATCCTGACAAGGTTGAGCTGGGCTGAGGCAGGGAGGTGGGAATTGAGAACAGAAAGAAAGACAGGAAAGCGGGGTTAGGAGGACCCCAGTTCTCTCGATGAACTGAAGTGAGTTTATTAGCCACACAATCTTATTTATACACAACACACTGAATAGGAGGTCTGTCAAGAGGAATGTATTTTTTGTTCCTCTTAATCTCTAAGGGAGAGACACAACAGAAGGACAAGTTCTCAGTACAGCATATCTCAGTAAATAGTTACAGACTTCTTGGTAAGCTATGAAAGGCTGTTCTCATTCTACAAATGTTGCTCTCATTCTACTGATAATCACCATCCAAACAAGTCTGGGAAAACTGTGTGGGTAAGGGTCCCAGCCTTGCTAGCCCCTTCAGGTGCAAGGACCTTGCCAGCTTACATCTGGCCCCCAACAAATGATCAAAAAACACAAGCGCATAAGTGTGCATCTGCACTCCACTTCTTCTCGGTGGCCATGGGAAGTGAGTGTCGCAAGTAACAAACAAATTTAGACTCTGGGGAACTACATGGTAAAGCTCTAAAGATCCCTACGGCTTGCCATTTTATGGTGACTAAAAATACAAAATGTGTTAAACTTTATTTTGTCTCAGTAACTGGAAAAAATGGTGCTGTTTAAAGGGGGGAAAAGGAGGTGTAACTTTTAAAAATAAAGCTTTGACTTGAGCCATGCCGGTGTGTCTCTGTGGTTGAGCGTAGACCTATGAACCAGAACCAGGAGATCACGGTTCGATTCCCGGTCAGGGCATATGCCTGGGTTGCAGGCTCAATCTTCAGTGTGGGGCGTGCAGGAGGCAGCCCATCAATTGATCTTTCTATTTCTCTCCCTTTCCCTTACCCTCTGAAATCAATAAAAATATATTAAAACAAAAAAACTTCTGAGTTTAATATTACATTGAAGTAAAAAAGCCCTTTAGTGGCACATACTTTGTCCTTTTAGGTGTCACAAATACAAAGAAGTGACATACTGACCACCACAGGCCTGCAGAGCCAAGTAAATGACCTAATATAAACTTGCTTCCTAGTCACTCAAAACAACCTGTTCTGTGGAAGTGAGGGGGCTGTCCTGACTTAGCTTCAATGATTACTGATTCAAGGGAAGTCTTTATACTCTGACTAATGGATTAAGAAGTATCAGTAAACTGACTAAAGCTGAGAAACCAATATAGTAACAGAATTTTCTTAAAGCACAATCCACTGTGGAACAGCTGAATAGGCAGCCGTGATCTGGGCTGCATTAGGTTGGCAGAATATGAAGTAAATTAATACCAGATCCTAGCAGAAGTCCTTGACTGTCTAGGCATGGATCTTTTTGTGTGAGGTTTCAGAACCACCCATTTCCTGCCTTTTTACTGAGAATCATAAAAGGTTCAGACTGAGAAAAATCTGCTCTTTCCTCACTTTATAGGTGAGAAAATAACTAGGGACACAAACTTACTTAGTAAACTGTAATGTTTGAAACTCCTAACAAAGCACCTTGGAACATTATAGTACTCACTTTGAAACACAATGGGAGTGAGGGCTACAAAGTTTTACAAGTTGCATCTTATTCTAAGAGGCCTTAGAGAGAAGGGGGCTAGAGGATACACATTGACAGAGAACATTATGCTAAATCTGAGTCAACAGAAAATTCATGGATCTGACTGCAATTCAGGCCAATGTATCCCACTAGCATTTACTCAACTTCGGGATCTGGGACTTGACTTGCCAATTGTTCATTGTATTTAGCTAGGAATAATGAAAGGTATAAACTTCTGATTAATGTAATGTTATACAGTATACACAAATGTTAAAATGGTTATATTCTCTGACCGTTGTAGAATAGACTATGGTTGCTAGAAAGATATAACTTGAATCCTTCTGTACCTAAGATTTTTCAGACACTTTTAACTCATGTCAGGTAAACTTCCGCTTCTTCTCCAGTGTCCATTCTCCCCTTCAGTAATAAAAATCTGAAATGGTCCCTATTTCCCTCTACATCTCCCAGCTTTCTTGTGGATGGGTATGGCAATGTGACTGTTGACCCACCAATGGACTGTGTGAAATGATGGATGCAACTTCCAGGTCTTGCCCGCCTGTTTTAAGCAGGGAAGCTGCCGGCTCTTCATCTCTGTCCCTCTTCCCTCTCACTGGAAAAGGATGGCCACTTGAACAAACACCAGAGACCTACAGATGGAAGCCACGGAGTATTCCACCAGTTGGATCCTTGGATGACTACAAGGTGCAGAGCCACCTGCTCACTTCTATCTTACTTTGGAGAAACTGATTTTCTGTCACTTTTGCCTATGCCAATTGCTAAGTGGAACTCTCATTCAGACTCCAAATAAGGAATGACATCTGGTCTCAATAAAAAAAAAAAACAGTAGTGAGAGAAACTTGAATGTAGCAGAACTCCTTTTTAGGCATATTTGGGTCACACATGCATACACACACCCTTCAAAAAACAACTTATAGTTACAAACTCAATACAAATAGGCACAGTTCTGAGTAGTTAAAAGGGTGGGCACAGGGGAGCTTGATTATAGCTCCATAGTTAATACCAGCGTGAGCAAGGCCAACTCCATATTTTCACCCGTTTTTCTTCTTCTGCAGATTGCACACAAGGGAAGGAAGCTTCTTGGTTTTATAGGCCACAGTTCCTTTGATGCGCTCTCCTTTGATGTTAACGATATGTGGCAAGAGAGGTGGCCGGACCGTCAGCACTGTTCCTTGAGGTGTATAGCCTCGGAGATGTAGTCTGTCTTTAAACTGAGGCGTTACTGCAACCCAACCTATGCAGGCACGCAGCAGAACACAAAATGGTGTCAGCAACTATCCTTCCCCTTGGCCCCGTGCCTCCACTGCCTCCCCCCCCCCCCCCCCCCGCCCCACTATCACAACTATGCAGTTGGGTCTCCCACATTTGGGGAAATCGTAGGGGTCAGCACATCTAGAGTGCAATGGATAAGCCTCACCCTGGGATGACCACCTTTGTGATCATGGTATCTCCCCTGCCAGGTATATTAACAACTACCTTATTGAAAACACTAAAGCTTAAAATGGAGCATGGAGGAGGCTACTGTTCTTTCACGCTGTATTTTTTTTGTTTGTTTGTTTGTTTTTACTATATTTTATTGAGTTTTTACAGAGAGGAAAGGAGAGAGATAGAGAGTTAGAAACATCGATGAGAGAGAAACATCGACCAGCTGCCTCCTGCACACTCCCCACTGAGGATGTGCCTGCAATCAAGGTACATGCCCTTGACTGGAATCGAACCTGGGACCTTTCAGTCCACAGGCAGATGCTCTATCCTCTGAGCCAAACCGGTTTCGGCTCACGCTGTATTTTAAAAACGCATACCATGCATTTGTGAAAAGGTACAAATTTATTTTTGGAGAAGGTTGCATTTTTATGAATTACCTAGTATGTACCAGTAAAACAGTGACCTCATGTTAGTTAAGATACATTTCTACAAAAATATTAAAAAGCTACTTTATTCATCTTTTAAAAAGTGCTTGGTGCCCTGGCCAGTGTGGCTCAGTTGGTTAGGCATCGTCCTGTGCACCAAAAGGTTGCCAGTTTGATTCTGGGCCAGGGCACATGCGTGGGCTTTGGGCAGATCCCCAGTAGGGGGCGTGCAGGAAGCAGCTGATCCACATTAATGTTTCCTTCTCTTTCTCCCTCTCCCTTCTTCTCTCTCTCTAAAATCAATAAAAACATTTTTTAAAAAGTGCCTGCCCCGGCTGGTTTGGCTCAATGGATAGAGCGTCAGCCTGCGGACTGAGGGGTCCCGGGTTTGATTCCGGCCAAGGGCACATGCCTTAGTTGCGGGCTCGATCCCCAGTGGTGGGGCGTGCAGGAGGCAGCCAATCAATGATTCTCTCTCATCATTGATGTTTCTCTCCCCCCTCTCCTTTCCTCTCTAAAATCAATAAAATATATTTTTTAAAAAAGTTCCTGGTATGAAATTACCTGCAGAGGAAAACTTGATGTCAGCCACTGCTTCAGGTTTCCCAAGTCCTTCTTCTAATGTAACGTCCTCAGCAACAAGAGGAGGAAATTCTGCCATTCGCTCTTTTCCACCCATTGGAACCTTTCATTGAGATAAAATGAAGATGTTTGGAAGTACAAATTAAACTCCCTATAACTCTAATATAAAGCAAAGCACTGATAAGATAATTCTGTACATGATCAAGAATAAAATCCTTTAAACATTAATGGTTGAGAAAGCCCCAAATCACTTCTAGTCAAATGAAGAGCACAGGAAACCTATAGTTCCCAGTGCCAAAGGTCACATGTGGACGGTGACTCCTGATAGCAGGATCTGCTTTATTAGTTTACCCTATTTTTACAGCCCTCTATACAGCTCTACAAAGAGTAATGATGGGCAATTAAGACAACATCTTTCCAAATATTTGAGCTCTTAGAGGCCTGGCTACCCACAAAGATTAATCCCTGCCTCATGATGAGTCAAGGGTACACATATAAGATTCAGCGTCTATGCTTACAGATGTTTCCATGAATTGGAAGTGACTGGACAGTAATCTATATAAAGGGTGTCCCAAAATTCATGCAAGATTTGAATTTTGCATGAGCATTAACAACAACAACAACAAAAAATAAAAGCCTAATTTTACTTGGTTTATCGAATCAGATTATAATATCTGTTGCCCTTTGATTTCAATCCCTTCAATTTGATAAGCATTACCAAGTACCAATTATGGCCCAGGAGCAGGGACAATGAAGATCAATGAAGACCACGGCTTTGCGTATGTTCCAGCAAAGCCGTGGAGGCCATTTACCCGATGTGCTATTCCATACATAACCCTATACTGTATACTTTATGAATCAATAAAAAATTTACAATTTTAATTATAAACCTATCAAAATTACTTCTTGCGTGAATTTTGGGACACCCTTTATATAAAAGCCTAAGTGACCAGCCAACCTGCTGACTGTCCGGTAGCTATGATGCACACTGACCACCAGGAGGCAGAAGCTCAACGCAGGAGTGGAAACCACAGGCATGGAAACATGGAACAGACTGATGAATCGCAGAGGGAAGGGGGGAGGGGAGAGGGCAGGAAGAGATTAACCAAAGATCTTATGTGCATACTAGAGGCCTGGTGGGTCCCTCGATCTGGCTTGCGGGGATCGGGTTGAAACCGGCTCTCTGACATCCCCTGACCAGGCCAGGCCGAGGGACCCCACTGGTGCACGAATCTGTGTACCGGGTCTCTAGTTTATTAACAGATGTCTCTGTGTTTAGCACTAGGGAGATAAAGATAGATGTTACAGAGAACCCAACCATGCTGATCAACTGAACGTTGCCTCTATGTCCTTCCTTCTTCGCTGACTCCGTCCACACCTTTGGGAACCCCTGGACCTGCTGGGACTGACCCCAACAGATGGCGCCTCGAACAGGATTCCCCTAGGTTAGCCCCCCCACACTCTGGATGGATAGGACTCCACCAGGGTGCTGCAGACCCCCCTATAGAGGATAAGTAGAGTAAGGAGGTGGATAGTACAGAACTTAGATTGAGAAGATGTGCCATACTGAGTCCAAAGAAAGAAGACTCTGTATTGATCTTTAGATTGAGAAGATGTGCCATCCTGAGTCTAGAAGAAAAAAGACTCCGTATTGATCTTTTAACACATATGCTTGCTAGCAGAGGAGTTAAAGTTACTCCCAGTCAGACAGAAAGTTTTATACAAGAAGTATGTCCATGCTTTTCTGAGGAAGGAAAGGTGCCGGAAAGGTAAATGTAAAGGCATGGGAGAAGGTAGGCCCAAGGAGACTTATCCTTAACCCCACTGTAGCCTTTCCACCCTAGGAAAGTGCAGGACTAGCAAGCTCTCCCTGGGGTGATAGATCAGGACTCAGGTAATAGCGGAAAGCGCCAATCCTACTCTTAAAGTGGATACAAGAGAGCATTTGGGGTTTTTCTTTTTAATGCCTGCTTTGGATTGAGTAAATGCATTTTACTTAGTTTTAACACATCAATGTTAGCTCTTGACACAAAAAGAAGAACTGACAATTCCATCAATATACCTTTTCTATAAAAAACAAAAAAGGGGGAGAATAATGTTATATGTTAGATTTTTTGGAAATACAATGCAGAGGGTTGTACAGCAGCCAAAAAGCATCGGGCCTCCTGTACAATAGCCTCTGCTGACTCAGCCTGGTAGAAGGATACACAAATCAGACAGGAGTTTTACCAGATCTGGTGATGATGTGGGGAAGAGGTTGCGTTTTATATCTTTCCAGAAGGAGCAGCCTCTGCCTCCCTCCTGGGGACCGTCACGCCTGGGAGGCCGAGTTAGCACACCTGACCAGTGCCCATCTGCAGCAGATGTGCAGCCCCGAGCTGGAACAACCTGTCCGTTGGGAGGATCCCATGTGCCTCCTTTTTGTCTGTCCGTATGTCCCAGCTTTGCCCCACACCTCCTTTCCTTTTCCTTTTTTTTTTTCTTTCTTAATCTGATTACTTGTTTGCTGGTTCTTTGGCCTTTCTCCTTCTCTCCTGAACACAGCCTTTTCTAGAATCTCCCTACCCCACTGTTCCAGGAAGGGCACCTCTCTTTTCTGCCGTGACTAGGGGGTGTCTGGTATATGCCCCATACGTGGAGTTGTCTTGTGCCAAGAGCCTGACATCCTGGGCTGAGAAAGCCCTGTCCCAGGACTCTCCTTTGTCCTGTATTAGCCCCTCTTGCCCTTGTGTCATGAGGGACCCCCTTCTCACAGTCCATTTGCCCATAGCTGTTGCCTGAGCTCTCTGTTCACACTGAGGTTGAGGCCTCGTGGTGGCCGGTGCCATGGATCTGTCTCTTGCCCAATGGTGTGAACTGGGCCCTCCCTGGAGAAGAAACCTGGGTTCCCCAAGAGATGTGACCAGAGCCGGGGCCCCGCCAGCAGGCGAGGGGAGCCCAAGGCAGGTGCTGGGCGTAGAGGCCACAGGGGCATAGGCTACCAAGGAGACAGAACTGAACCTCTTGCAGGGGAGGTGCTGCCCGTCCCTCATTCGCACACCTCACATCACCCTGCTTGGCCCCGGAGGATGGCTGGTTAGCCAGAGACGGGTAAGATTCCTCAGGAAAGGAACAACCTAAGACAGGCACAGTCGCAGAGGGGCCATCAGGAGACAATTTGGGGGTCAACAGAGGTGGGGCACAGAGCCTCACCTCCCCCAACTTTGCAGAGGCATGAACCCTCACTCCTTCTGAGGGAGGTCTCCTGCCCCCATGGCTGCTTTGCTTCCCACGTCCAGCTCAGATCGGGACCCAAGTAAAGACAGAGACTGGCTGACAGCAGCTGCCCTCTCACTACAACAGGACTTGTTTCCCATTTCTATCTTGGACCACAGGGAAAGGGGCAGCTGAAGGAAAGGGCTGTGTCAGGATGTTACCTTCTTCCCTTTCTTCTCCCTCTTTTTTCTAAACACTTCCATGCCTTGTAGTTTTTTGCTTTCTCTTCTTTTTCTCTCTACTACCCTCCATCTCTGCCTCATCCTCCTCCTTCCCAGTATCATCCATATCAGCCGACCCAGAGGGCATAGCTGACTCCTCCCCGGACACCAGCACCACCATCAAGCACGGCCCTGATGGACCCTTTGATCCAGCCGTTCACTGCACTGACACTTTGGGGAGCCCGTCGCCAGCAACACTGCCCACTAGCCAGATCAATGAGAACAACCAAACCACCGACTTGGGGTCAACTGAAGAAGTTAACAACTGAGGCCCAGCAGATGGTAGAGAAGCAAGAAGTGGAAGCTACTCTCACAGCCAAGTCCAAGGACTCTGAGTAAATCAGCAAAAGTAACTTTCATTTAGCAGAAACTCACTTATTGCTGTTTTGCATTGCCATTGTTTCATTATTCTTTTTTTTAAATTTTATTAATTAAACCTTTATTGTTCAGATTATTACATTTGTTTCTCCTTTCTTCCCCCATAGCTCCCCTCCACCCAGTTCCCACCCCACCCTCCTCCCTCACTCCCCATCCACTGTCCTCATTCATAGGTGCACGATTTTTGTCCAGTCTCTTCCGCATCCCCCTCACCCCTTTCCCCCCAAAGAATAGTCAGTCCACTCCCTTTCTATGTCCCTGATTCTATTATAATCACCAGTTCATTCTGTTCATCAGATTATTCACTTGATTTTCAGATTCACTTGTTGATAGATATGTATTTGTTGTTCATAATTTGCATCTTTACCTTTTTCTTCTTCTTCCTCTTCTTAAAGGATACCTTTCAGCATTTCATATAATACTGGTTTGGTGGTGATGAACTCCTTTAGCTTTTTCTTATCTGTGAAGCTCTTTATCTGACCTTCAATTCTGAATGATAGCTTTGCTGGATAAAGTAATCTTGGTTGTAGGTTCTTGGCATTCATCACTTTGAATATTTCTTGCCACTCCCTTCTGGCCTGCAAAGTTTCTGTTGAGAAATCAGCTGACATTCATATGGGTACTCCCTTGTAGGTAACTGAGTTTCTTTCTCTTGCTGCTTTTAAGATTCTCTCTTTGTCTTTTGCTCTTGGCATTTTAATTATGATGTGTCTTGGTGTGGTCCTCTTTGGATTCCTTTTGTTTGGGGTTCTCTGCACTTCCTGGACTTGGAAGTCTATTTCTTTCACCAGGTAGGGGAAGTTTTCTGTCATTATTTCTTCAAATAGGTTATCAATATCTTGCTCTCTCTCTCTTCTTCTGGCACCCCTATAATTCTGATGTTGGTACGCTTGAAGCTGTCCCAGAGGCTCCTTACACTGTCTTCGTATTTTTGGATTCTTTTTTCATTTTGATTTTCTGGTTGGGTGTTTTTTTTTCTTCGTATTTCAAATCGTTGACTCGATTCTTGCGATCCTCTAGTCTGCTGTTGGGAGTCTGTATAATAGTCTTTATTTCAGTCAGTGTATGCTTAATTTCTAGTTGGTCCTTTATCACAACCTCGAGGGTCTCATTAGATTTCTTGTAGATCTCATTAAGTTTATCGGCAGTTTCTAGAAAATTCTTGAAAAACCTTAAAAGTGTGGTTTTGAACTCTATATCAAGTAGTTTGCTTTCCTCCATTTCTGTCATTTGTGTCCTTTTTCTTTGTCTCTGCATTTTTTATGCTTCCCTATGTTGATAAAGTGGTTTTCTGTGCTGAGTGTCCTCTAGGGTCCAGTGGTCCATCCTCCCCAATTATCTGAGGAGGACACTCTTGGTGCACCCCCTTGTGGGCTTTGTGCACAGTCTTGTCGTAGTTAAGCCTTGATTGTTGTAGTTATCACTGGGAGGAATTGACCTCCAGGCCAATTGGCTGTGAGAATCAGCTGTGTCTGCAGTGGGAGAACTTCTGTGCTGGAGACACCCCTCTGGGGCAAGACTTGCTTCAATGGGGCTTTGGTGCTCACTGAGTCTGCCCCCTGAGTGTGTCCTTTATGGTTCCATGGGGCTGCAAACTGGATGGTCCCACTCTGACCTCTGGGTTTCCTGGCTCTTGGATCTCTAGGGAGGTGCTAATCTAGCCTTTGCCTGAGACTATCCAGCAAAAGCCTCCCTGCAGGGCTTGGGCAGGGTGGGGCCCACGGGATCAACAGGGCGGGCTAGCAGTTATGGCTGCTCTCAGTCCAGCCCTCAGAGGCTTCGCTTCTCAGTGTCCCGGTAATCGCTGGAAGTCCCTTGGAGAGAAAGCTGCCCTCGAGTTCCGACCGATGCCAGACAGTCCTGCTTCTCCCGTATGAGTCTGGGTCCCTAGAGACTCGCCCGGATCTGGAGCTCAGAGTGTGAGACTTCCTCCTGATTGAAAACAACAACCGTGCCCTCAGCCACCAGCCCACTCCGCGTGCACCTCCGCACCTTAGTATTTTACTTCAGTACTGCTCCTCCTCTGAGTCTCGGTATGCTTTTCTCTTTCCTTCTAGTTGTAGAATTTCCACTCAGCCAGCCTTCCTGTGGTTCTAGATGATGTCCGTTCCGTCTTTTAGTTGTATTTTTGAAGTGGTTGTTCGAGGCAGCAAATTCCGGTGTTTACCTATGCCGCCATCTTGGTTTCTCCTCTGTTTTATTATTCTTACTAGTTTTAAAAATGTTATGTTTAAGTTTTAAAATGTTTTGGGTTGTGCATTGGCATTGTCTTGTTATTGTTTTAATAGCCAGAGTTTTGTTCTTGTTGCTTAAGTTTTACTTTCATGATGGTAGCTTTTTGTTCTTGATGCTTAACAACTTTCATTATAGTAGCTTAAAATATAGGGTGAGATGTGGGGAGCCGATATAGGGTTAAGCCTCAGACTGACCTGTTAGCAAAATCACAAACAAGTCTTCTTCCGAGTCTTAAACAACCCAATCTGAGAGGTGGCCGCTGATTCACACGCGCTGTCATTTAAAAAATAAAAATGGGGGAATTTGCTGGAGTCCAATCCACCCTTGCTGCAGGGAAGAAACATCTGCACAGCTTATGTTTCAAGGGATCTGGCATATATGACATATGTTTGCTCCCCCTCTTAAGTGCTATGTGTTTTAACCAAGATCACCTCCCCGAGAAAGGTTGTTTCCCTAGGTTAGGGGTTAACAGGACTAAGGAAGAGAATAAATCAGTAAATCCCCTTAGTGTTACAGAAATACCATGTACTAATTATGAAGAACTTGGACTAAGACTGTTGGCAATAAATTTGGGACTTGTTGGGCCCACATCCCCAGGAGTCTGCCCACCAGTGAAAGCACCAAAGCCTATACCCCTGGAGACCCACCGACACAGGGCAGTCCCAGGGAAGGCAAGCAGCGAGGCTGGGAGGACATAACCTTTACTGGGCAGGATAAACTCCTTCAGTCACTTCCTGTAGCTTATCAGTAGAGCAGTAAATACTGACTTTGGAATAGCCCTTATAATGGAACACAGAGATTAACCTAGACAAGATTAAAATCAACAGAACTAGATAGAGACAGGATTATGGAAATGAAACTAGGAACTGTAGGAGGTTTCTTGAAACATACCATGATGTAATTATAGAGGCATGCTTATGGGATCAAATAGTATAAATATAGATGTAATAGAACAATAAAGAGAGAACCCAACCATGCTGATCAACTGAAAAAAAAAAAGATAGATGTTTCAGTATAGTCCCATCCCCCAAGGAAATCAGAAGGTGGAAATAACAAGTAATCCAAGTGCAAGGTAAGAAATGTCGTGAGAGGCATATATTATGTATTCTGGTTGTGGAGGCAGTACTGCCATTTTGGACCAGGTAATTCTGTGTTGTGAGGGGCTGTCCTGTGCACTGCAGAATGTTTAGCATCATCCTTGGCCTCTAACCACTTGATGCCAGTAGCACCCCCCTGGTTGTGAGAAAATCTGTAACTTCTCTTCACTCAGCATTATCCAATGCAACTTTCTGCAATGATGTGACTACTGAGCAGTTGAAAGTGGCTAGTGCAACTGAAGAACTACATTTTAAATTTTATTTAATTAATTTAAATTTAAGAGCCACATGTGGCTACCATATTGGACAGTGTAGTCTCGGGAAAACACAGCTCAGGAGCTATTCTAGGATCAGCCCAACATCCCTTTCCTTACAGGGAGCACTTCACTTCATAGCCAAATCCTCAAGGAGAACAGGTGAGGGGAGAGCTAGCTGATGGTATAACAAAGATGGTTCTAGGAAAGCCTTTCTTAGCAGAGCTGTGGGACTATCACGGTGTATGCTAACCTAACCATGCAATCATCAGAGTGTGTCGCCTCACCTTGAGTAATAAATCACCTGCGTGCTTCTGATATATAGTGTCTGCCTTCTCCAAGGAGGTAATGTGCACAGGAAGGAAGTTGGAAGCCACTACTGTAAACCAAGCTGACTGACTTCCCTTAAGAAAGAAAGAAGTTATTTTACACAATGAAAAACTTGCAAAAACAGCAAAAGGCACAATTAAAAAACAACAACACAGCTCCCTTATAAGTACTGGTAATAAAACTATATTAATGCCTAAGAATAAGGGTACAACGTGGCAGAAGCTGTGCATTTCAACAATTGATGTAAAACTATAATTCCTTCTCACAGGCTTATTGATAATTGTTTAAAGAAATGGTAATTTTATTAAAAACAAAGGGGAATACTGTCTGCTTCAACTGTCCCTGTTTAAAAAATTAACTTTCTGTGAGCTTCAAAGAAATATATACCGGTTTTAAGTGTGTAAAGATAAATTTCCAACAAATTATGAACAAACACCAAACCCAAGAAATGTACTAAAGCAATGGCCTGCAAGTTGCAAAATGTGTTGTTGAACATATCCATGTTTCACTTTCCTTGTTCGGGGACCACTTCTATAAATACTCTAAAATCCCCAGAATGATGCTATGAAAACCCAAGCAAAACCATATATAAAAGCATACATAATATGGGACATAAAGAAGTGTGGAATTTATTTAATGCATATTAAGCCTGTACTTACTTAAAGGTTTGACTAATGATTTCCCTGTGAAACAATACCACAGGATGGGGCAGTATCTTTTCTTAATGCTAAGCTGTATGGGGCCTGAGCATCCTATTGAAGATATAGTTTTAAGTCCTATTACCATATTCCCCCCACCCCCCATTAATTTTACCAAGTTTTTAGAATGAGCATTTAAAAAAAGAGAGAGAATAGTATATCAATGCCCCACATAGTCATGATCAGCATTTTGTCAGTCTTGTTCATAAATCTGCTTCCTTGAAATAAATCTGAAAACTGTCACATTTTTTTTATTGATTTCAGAGAGGGAGAGGGAAAAAGAGATAGAAACATCAATGATGAGGGAGAATCATTGATTGGCTGCCTCATGCATGCCCACACTGGGGACCAAGCCCGCAACCCAGGCATGTGCCCTGACCGGGAATCAAACCATGACTGCCAGGTTCAAAGGTTGACGCTCAACCACTGAGCCACACCAGCTGGCGACTAAGTAACTTTTTAATGTTACAGACTTCCCTTACCTGCAGAAAATCTATGCATCCTTAGGTGCCCCAAAATAGAACCATTCCAGGTTTAAGCACAAAAGTTCTTGGAATAATGGAGTGTGTTGGCAAGACAATATTCACTTCTTTTTCTGTTAGAAGTTTTAAAATCTGTAAAGGGTAGATATTTTGGGAGAATTACTTTTATTGAAGATACATAATTTACCTAAGAGATAAACAGAGATGAAAAAAAATATTCCAGACTTCACAATAAACCAAAGTATGTCATAATTTGCTACACATAAAATGTATTCATTCTGCAGCACAATTCACCATAGCTAAGATTTGGAAACAGCCTAAATGCCCATCAGTAGATGAGTGGATAAAAAAAACTGTGGTACATCTACACAATGGAATACTATGCTGCTGGAAAAAAGAAGGAGTTCTTACCATTTGCAACAGCATGGATGGAACTGGAGAGCATTATGCTAAGTGAAATAAGGCAGTCAGAGAAAGATAAATATCACATGATCTCACTCATTTATGGAATATAATGAACAACATAAACTGATGAACAAAAACAGATCCAGAGACAGAGAAGCATCGATCAGACCATCAAACCTCAGAGGGAAGGTAGGGGAGGGTGGGGATAAGTGGGGAGATCAACCAAAGGACTTATATGCAAGTATATAGACCTAACCAATGGACACAGACAACAAGGGAGTGAGGGCCTAACTATTTGACAAGAAGTGTGTATGACTAAAGTAACTGCTATCCTTAACCTGATTCTAAAAGGGAAACATGAGGTGAAGTTATTGTGATAATACCATTCTGAGAATGAAACTCTTAAGTAATCCTGATGAGGCAAAGGAAGGAAAAGTACCTAAGAAACCAATGTTGTTTCACAGGGAGATACAGAGATAATTAGGTGAATTAGATACTGGTCAGTAACCAGATTCAAATAGATCTGCAGTAAGGCTGTATCCTGGCTGTACACTTGAGTCAATGAATGGATGATGATCGTTCATGATGATGATCAAAATAAAAAGTTGTGAGACTTAAAAAGTATGTAGGATATAGGTTGAATTTAATGAGATAGGATCAAAGCTGCCCAGGAGATACCAAGGTTGAATTAAAAAGATGTACAAGGGGCCCTAGCCAGTTTGCCTCAGTGGATAGAGCATTGGCCTGCAGACCAAAGGGTCCCAGGTTTGATTACAGTCAAGGGAAAGTACCCTGGTTGCAGGCTCCTCCCTGGCCCGGACCCTGGTTGGGCATGTGCAGGAGGCAACCAATAGATGTGTTTCTCTCACATCGACAGCTCTCTGCCTTTCCCTTTCTTTTCCACTCCCTCTAAAAAAATAAAAAATAAAAAATAAATCAATGGGGAAAAAAATGTACAAGGGCAAGTCAGGCAACGTTAATCCTGTTCTAAATTATGCCGAAATGAGGGCACTCATACAAGAAATTCCATTCCTTTTTATTTTTTCAATCTTCACCTGAGATGTTTATTGACTTGAGAGAGGAAGGGGGGCAGAGAGAGAGAAAATATCGATTGAACAGTAGAATTGATACAATGGGATAAAGTACAACCTGTGCATGCCACCTCATACAGATGGCTTGTAACATTAAGATGCATCTGAATGGAGCCTGATAGGATTACGGACGGATCAAACACACAGGCAGTAGCAAACTCTGTCTTATTGAGAGTTCCTCGTAAAGCAGAAATGGAACTATTTGAGCTATAATTGAAACTATACCATTTTATAGGTGTAAGTGCAGCGGCTAATTTCCAGAGTACTTTGTAGAGGCCAATTGTCATGTTGTAATTGAGGCCCAACAAATCCTCTTCCATGCCATGAGATGGGGTGATTTTCTTCAACATATAGATAGGATGCATTCCCTTTCCACTTAAGGGCGCGGTTGTTACTATACAGAGATCCATAAGGGCTCCAGTCTATAAAGAAAAATTATTAAGTTTGCTGGTGGTAGGATAATTACTGTAACAGTCTTGCCAATAACTTGTTCCTCAGTGGGATCCCATTCATAAGACCTTTTACATAGTGGCTTAGTGGAGGGGGGAGGGGAGGGAGAATGCCTTAGCATGCTTATATTTTCTGCACTTTTCCCCAGAGCAAGTAGAGACAATAGACGTACTTGAGCCATTTCTTCCCCGTTCTTTGGGGTCCAGGCTGGCCAAAAACCTCTATTTAATTTTACACACAAGGGAGCAGTGGCTTGATTTAGAGTCATACAAAAGGGAAGCTGGGTGGCAACAGCTGTGTAATTATATCTTGCCCATAGGCTTCCTTGCCCTACCTGTGGTCCTCCTGGATGACCAAGATTTTTGGTATCATTAGTATCTATATTAGGCGGAGGATTGGCCCATGTAAGGGGTCTTACCCATGGTGGGTCAGGAACATAAGTCCAAAATACCACCCCATTTGCCCTTGGTAGCATTACCGTAGAGCTGGTTACTGCTGACATGGAAAGAAAGATGTTCTCAGGTGTTCTGGTCACTTCTGGGCTCCTTTTCCCACTTCTAATCTTTAGTGGGCTGCTTGGGATCATTGCTATCTGTGGGCCAGGCGGTTAATTGTCTGTAGCTGTAAGGCGTGGCTTCAGGTGTGGACTCCTCTTTAAATTGGCCAGTTTCTCTCTCGGGTCCATGTTGAAGTTAATATGTCTTGTGGGGATCCACACAATCTTTGAGAAATTTTCTGGAAATATATAAACATATCCTCAACCAAATGTTCAGTTTGAGATTCTTCTCATTTAATTAGACCATTTTTCTTTGACACCAGTGCACTTTCACAGGTGTCCTGCTATAGGCATTACAATTGAAAATCCATTATAAAGTAACAATTTTAAAATACTTCAGGCTTAATGTAATATTCTTACAGGAAAAATTCTATTATTCCCCTATATCGTATTAAAAATAATATGAAAAGCCTTTTGAAAAAAATTTTAATGCAGTTTTGATGTCTTTATTTTAATTTCTTGTATAGAGAGATATGACTGCTTTTTAATTTATTAAATGCTAAATAATTATTATTATGAGATGAACCATCAATAAAAATTTTTAATACTTCAGGATATAGTTTACTGTATAGTACAATTAAGATTTCCTTGGACACTCACTTTAATTAGCCTATTTAAATTAATTTGAAATAAGGTTCATTATTTAACTTTACTTGTCTTTGTTAACAGTAAATAACATTAATTGGATTATTGCTATCAGTCCCTTTTTAACTACTTTGACATAAGTTATTTAACTTTTATTTAAGGAGGGAACATATAACCTTTAATTGTCCTTAGTTTAAGGAAAGCAGGGTTTTCTAGATTTAAGAGATTAGAAAAATGACTTTGTGGGTCTGTGCATACACTTATTAGTAAGTTTTAATGACATTGAAGGCATATTAGTTTAAATAGAGACATTGGTATTAATAAATCAATTTTTTTTCTTTTATTTGGCAGAAATTCCTTATGCAACCAAGCATACTGTATTGGTCTAATTTAGTTATTTCATTTTTTGGGAGAAGGAATAAATCTTTTTGCACAATCTCAGGGCCCTTGAGATGCACAAAATGTCCTTCCATTATTTCTTGTAATATTGCATTCAGGAAAAGCTGTCAAACATATAATCTAAAATTATCAACATTTAAAAACTGTTCTCAACATCATAGGATCTAGTCTTGAACATGGAATCAATTACTTTTAATTTGGTTATTGAATTTTTTACATGATAATAATATTGTTTATTTTATTCTGTACCTTTCAAAAATGTTTTTATCTTACAAGCCTTTTTAAAAAAATACGAGCTTTATTGTCAGCCTTTTTAAGCCAACTGTTCAAAACATTGGTCTATTACATAACTGAAATTATGTTAAGACCGTGATTACTAATTTATTAAGCATTAAAAATCTTTTCCTAAAAAAATAATAAATAAGTCCGCGAGGCAAGCACACCCAACCCATTCGCATTTGTGAAGGAAAACTCGGCCTTAAAACTCCACCCCTGAAATTCCATCCTGCCTCAGTAAGTAGACATTCCTCTTGTGATTGGCCAGTGGCTAATTCAGAGGGAGGGGCGGCCCCCATGAGAGCCACCTGGCCCAGCCCTGATGGAGCCTACCCAGAGAGCAGGTAGCCCCAGGCCACTCCTTGTGGCGGGAAGATTGAAAAGATTAGGGGATTAAAGGATTTCCTTCCCTGTTAAAAGGAGAACTTTCTTATCAGTACATTTGGTTAATTACAGAATTAATCCTCTTTTATTTTTAGATTTAGCTTGAAAAGCACTAGAAATCATATTACTCTTTTTACAGCTAGACAGACTCACACAGTAAAAGCACATACTTTAGAGGAAACAAACTTAAACTTACACTACAGATACTCTATAAGGGAAATTTATTTATTTTTTTAAATACATTTTATTGATTTCTTACAGAGAGGAAGGGAGAGGGATAGAGAGTCAGAAACAACGATGAGAGAGAAGCATCGATCAGCTGCCTCCTGCACACCCCCCCACTGGGGATGTGCCCGCAGCCAAGGTACATGCCCTTGACCAGAATCGAACCCGTGACCCTTGAGTCCACAGGCCGACACTCTATCCACTGAGCCAAACCGGCCAGGGCTATAAGGGAAATTTATTTATTTATTTTTTTAAATGCATTTTATTGATTTTTTACAGAGAGGAAGGGAGAGAGATAGAGAGTTAGAAACATCGATGAGAGAGAAACATCGATCAGCTGCCTCCTGCACATCTCCTACTGGGATGTGCCCGCAACCCAGGTACATGCCCTTGACCGGAATCGAACCTGGGACCTTTCAGTCCGCAGGCCTACGCTCTATCCACTGAGCCAAACCGGTTTCGGCGGGAGTATAAGGGAAATTTAAATCAAAGCTAGAACCTTAACTGCGTGATAGCAGGCATTCAAACACAAATCCACCACACTGTCTCTTGCCGGGCCTGAGTTGAGTCGTGCCCCCACCAGGCGGGAAAGTCTTTCTTTGGGAACTGCTCTGGGCTTCCCCCATCCCGGAAAGCGCGGAGCCTCCCGGCCGTGCACACGCGGGAAGGGAGGCGCGGAAAGCCAGGAGCTCCCACGGCCACTGGGAGCGGAGGCCACTGGGAGCGGAGGCCACTGGGAGCGGAGGCCACTGGGAGCGGAGGCCACTGGGAGCGGAGGCCACTGGGAGCGGAGGCCGGCGTGCGTGCAGAGAGACGGGGGAGGCGCGGAGGATTCAAACCTTCCCGCCCCGGTTTGGGAGTGCTGACGGGTCATGAATGAAGTTTAAGAGATCAAGAATTTGACTACATTAAACAGAGAAATCTCGGGCCTTTAGCATAGCTTTAAGCATCTGCGAGTAGAGCTCTCTCTCTCTCTCTGTCTCTCTCTCTTGAGACCCGGAAATTACCCATTTTTACACCCAGTTAAATTATAATTTCCAACCAATACATTCCTACTCACTTTCTCTTGCGTGGCGCGCGCCTTTTCAGGAATGATCCCCTTTAGCCTGTCCTCCACTGCCCCACGTGTGGACGCCAGAATGTTCCTGGGCGTGTGCTCCCTTTTCCACAACCCGCACGGTGAAGAGAGCGTGAACCGGTTCCTTCAAATGGAGGTGTGTCGGGGATTGAGAAAAATGAAAGACAGACACAAAATAGAAAGTACAGCTGGGCCTGGGTGGCCTTCTGCCCTCTTCTGGCAGAGAGGCAGAAAGAAGAAGTCCCAAAGCAGCGTGTTTACTTTATAGTCCCAATTCCCCAAAATATCAGGTTTCACCAAAACTCAAGGTAAGGGAGGTATTCCAGGTACTTGACTGAATTTACATAATAAAAACCCATTTCCCTGCACCTGGGCTTTGGAGAGTTGAGCTGAAGGCATTCTCACCTTTTGGCCAGAAATGCCCCCAAGGTAGGGCTATGCCCAAGCCTTGGGTTCAGTCAACATAACTTAAAGAAAGCCCTGGCGCCTTCCCTGGCAGGGGGCCTACCACATAGAAGGGCTCCATAGATAATTCTATTAGAAAATGACTGCAACTGCTACATTTCCAAGCACTACGCTGACACAGAAGAGAGGCGTTATTAAAGTAGGGAGAGAATTATTAATGGGAAGGCTACAGACAGTTCCTGGTGGACATTAAGTAGCTCAGAAAACGCAGGAGGCGGGACTCCTCCCACAGAAGTTC